TATCAACCTTGCTAATAGAGTTACTTAAGCTCAGTTCAACCAAATTAACTTCTCTAAATTCCCACATACCGGATCTAAAGATTGTAGAATTGAACCTCACTGCCACTCGTTCCTTACAATATTCCCATGCTGCTATCTCTCTCTTTCTCCACCCTCTCCTTTATCCTCTTCTTGATCCAAAATTCAATGGGACTTGTTGAACCCCGCCTAACAGTTTTTCCCAGCGGGAAATGCTCAGCAAAATACAGCTACAAAACCAAATATATATAGGTCACACTTCTGCAACAATAACATCAAACAAAATTATAGTAACTAATAAAAATATTGACTTACTGGTAGCAAATAAAGACACCCTCTAACATTGCAAGTTCCTTTATTTTTCTTCTTCTTCTTTGTCATCTTCACAAAATCTTCTGTTTCCTTTCACAGGTTCTTAATGATTTATGTTGACCAATCATATTTTCCAAAGTCGTCCATCGTGTGATGCATCACTTTCAACAAACTTAAATGTATAGTTGTGCTTGACCTAGGACATAAAAAAGCTCCAACTATATAAAGCATAAATAGGAACTCAAAATTGTCATTTTCTGTCCCAAATAATATCTTCTTCAATATTTGGATAAATAGAACCTTCTAATATGTGTCCTTTAACCTCTTATATGTTGGATCATCCTTACCAATATCATATTTGACTTCCTCCCTACCGTGAGGTACACCTAGAAACTCATGAGCTTCTTTTGCTTCAATTGCCTCCCCTTGCCCCGTAATGGTAAAAAAAAAAGTGTTGGTAAGTCATAGGATCTCAATAATGACACAAGTAGATCACGTGGAAGTTGCTTCACATTCACATTAAACAGGTTCCCAAATCCCATCCTCTCAACTTTCTTCCTTAACTACTTATTCTTTTTCACATACTCAGCCAATAACTTAAATCTGGGCAATGAGCATCGGGTGTATAAGGAAACATCATACTTCTTCTCCCTTTTCTGTGGCTTCAATTTCTTTGCCTTCTCAGTATACCTATCTCTCTCTTCCTGAATCAATGCCTTTCACGCCTTCCCTACTTCAATTTTTTGTTCTATTGCATTTTTACACTTCTCTCCTCATTTTGCCATATAGTCCCTTGTAAACAACACGAGTCCACCGTGTACTCCTTTGCTTGTGGACCTTTCCCCTTCTTTCAACACCATCTCATATAATTCTGCAAAATCATAAATGTACAGTCATTAAGTAATAAATGTTATACATATACTAAATCTCTGATTATTTCCTAATATGTTATGGTCATTTTCAGTTCTTTCATTGTCATTATGAATATAGTCATTACAGACTGAGAATATAGTCATTACAAGGAATACGATCATTTCCAATTCCTTCATTGTCATTACGAATATGGTTATTACAGACTAAGAATATCGTCATTAAATAAATATGGTCATTTCCAGTTCCTTCACTGTCATTATGAATATGGTCATTACAAACTAAGAATATGGTCATTACAATGAATATGGTTATTTCTAGTTCCTTCATTATCATTACGAATATAATCATCAGAGACTGAGAATATGGTCATTACTATGAATATGGTCATTTTTCAATTCCTTCATAGTCATCACCAATATTTTCCTAGTCATTTGAAAACCTATTTTTTGCTAACATCACAATGCTCAACTTCATTATAAAAAAACACTACCACGCCACTGAGAATAAACCCTGAATCACTATTCCAGTCATTCACAAACTTAATCATGTCATTTCTAAATATTGACAAACCATTGCTTCCCCCACTCATCCAGAAACATCGACCACAGGACGAAACTTAAATCCCTACACTTAGCTTAGTTAAATGCCGCTGATGCTTGCTAACTGTAATGGTGAATCATTGATCGCCAATCTTTGTCCTCTCACCCAATCAGCCAGAGTCACGGACGTTCAACCTTTAAATAGAATAGCCTTCCACTTCAAACTCCTCTCCTGTCTTACACACGCACCATTTCAACATCATCAACTTTCCAACTTATTGGCATTTTTAGGGCAGCAATGGGGATAGTGGAAGCGAGAAACTAGAAAGCATGACAAGGTTGGTTCGTGCCTCTCTCTTTCTCTCTACTTTCAAACTCTTCCATAAGGGCTTTCTTGTAATTGAACAACATTTTCATAATCCCCTATCAGGAAACACTTTCTAACTTGTCATTACATTTGCTTAGCTTCCTATTTTGGCATATAAGATTTTCAGGTTTCTTTCTATGTCATTTTCCCCATAAATTTTAATCAAATCATATTATTTTAAATATTGATTTGAATCAAGTCCACAAATTCACAATGAAATATTGTTCATTTATGACACCTCGAGATGCTTTGGTATTGAAAAAAAGCTGTGTCAAATAATCATGTCATGTATCTCTAGTGCGTCGTTTAAAGTGCTTCAAAATGATGAATCAGTAGATAAATTCAAGTCTTCAAGGAGTATCAGATAAGGGGATCCCATTTAACCTTGTATATCTACCCTATGTATGGAGGGACTTAGCCATATCATTTAATGGTGCGATTCATGAAGGGAAGTGGAAGCCTATTAAGCTTAATATGAATAGACCCCTCCTTTACATCTTTTCTTTGCTAATCATTTAATAATTTTTTGTGAAGCCTCAATTAATAAGCCAAATGAATGTGATGTTACAATGCATCAATATTTTTAGTGGGGTGTCAAGAAAAAGCATTTGTTTTTTTGAGTGTCAGATGGCAAAGTTAACTTGGTTTGGAAGTATGTTTTTCTTTAATTTTGAAGAAGATCTAAATATAGATTTTACTAGCTGGTTTATTCACTAGTTATGCAAAATGAGTCTTACACAATGGGAAAAAGCTATTTTAGCATCTATAATATGGTCTATTTAGAAGAGTAGAAATAGATTCCCATATGAACATTTGCCTATTAACCCTGTGTTTAATTTTTTGCAAGCACAACAACTTGTTCAAGGTTTTTAGGACGCAAAAGGCTAGATCGCCAACCCTAACATTCATGAGAAACAAGCTGTTTGAGAAAGAGAGGAGAATGTCAAGTGGTGTCCACCTATTGGGAACGCTCTCAAAATCAATGTAGACTGCGCAATGAATTTTGAGGATGGAACTGCTGCGATCGCTTTTGTGGTTCTAGACGGAAATAGATGGGTGCTTGACAGAGGAACTAGAAAAATCGCTATTGACTCATGCTTGTTAGCAGAAGATGCTGCGTTATAGCTTGCTATAAACTACGCTGTTGAGAATGAATTAGATAAGGTTCAATTTGAATTAGACAACCAAGTGCATATTCAGTCTATTAATAATCAAGTTCCAGTCCCCGGATGGAAAATGAAATTATCCTTCAAAATTTGTATTTTTCAAGGAACCTGTTAAGGAACCATGTTTGTGTTTAGATTCCACATGAGGCAAATTCTATGGTTGATTAGGTAGCTAAAGCCGCTTGGGTTGGTCTTTGATTTTTTGTTGGTTATCTTTGAACGCTATATCTTTAATTTTTATGGAACGAATCTGATTTAATGGCAAAAAAAAAAAAGGTGTCAAGAAAAAGCATGAATAGGTCAAAAATCAAAATATGCTTCTCTGACAACTATAAAAATAATTATTATTAATAAGTAAATTGAATAATCTAGTAATAATTATTAATAAATAATTTTTTTAAAAAAAAACACCGGGTCGACGTCTCGTCCCGTCCTGGTTACAATCCCGTCTTGTCTTGTACTTGTCCTATCCTAAAATTTTTTTGTTCTGTCCCCTCCTGTTCCAAACCCATCAAGACCTGGATAGGACAGGACAAATTATATACCCCTACTTCAAAAGTCCTGTCTGTTCAAAAGTTTTTTTTTTTTTAACAAGCTAGATTTAGGCTCGCTGATAAGCATGTTAAGTCTATGAGGCAGCTTGGGCCTGTTATAATTTTTAGATACATGTCATAATTTTAATTAATCCCTTTCATAGAAACCTTTTCTGAAACAATCAATCTCTTTCATAAATCTAGCCACTCTTTGGTCTATGGCGCTCAAGTTTTCCGACCTCCATTCTCCAACTTGAAGCCTGAAACCTCTCTCAAATATTCATCGGATCCAATCCATAAAAATTTACTCCATTTGAAACAAGCATTTAACTAAAAAACGTGGTGAATAATTAAGCTTATCTTGCATCTAACTGTATCCTAAAGTCAAAACACTTTTTCTACTTTTTTTCATTTTATTTTTATAGTATCTTTAATTATTATAAGTATATATTTATTCATATACTTCTAATTTGTTAATTTGACAGAGAAAACAAGTTAGCAGATAATATGTAGCTCTTGTTGAGCATATATACATCTAAATAAAATTAAAACCAATCATATTACGAATAATATATAAATATGAGGTAATAGTTATGGGCATGATAAGCATTTGCTATGTATTTTAATTAACCTCGTAAAAATATAAGCTTATGAATAGGTTTTAGGTCAGGCGCCACTTTTATACAAGCTAGGCTTAAGCTGAATAAAAAACTTATAACAGACCACATATCAGATTCAGATCAACAGGCTTCAAAACAAACTTATCATGTTAAAGGTGAAGACTGGCCTAGTCTATTTTCCTTCTTATCCATCCTTATTCATCTTTATCTGTATATTCACCTGAATAACTTTTATTCCAAAATAATTTATCAGAGGCATTATTAAAAGAAAGATGAGTGGCAATAATTTGTCTAGCAACTTGGGGGGAATGTGACGCATACACTAGCTCTTTATTCCAGGTCACGGGATTTGAAATCGAATGATGGGGCAAAATAAAATCAGCCGCCTTTTGTACAAACTCTGAAGTAGCCGACCTTACTGCACAGCCCACAATGGGTGGTTAATTGAAATTTACTTGTAAATTATATTTTTCTTTTAAAATTGTAAATTTTTTTCAACAAAAAATTCTAAATAGGTGATTTTTTTTTAACGAAATCAAAATCATTTGAACAGCTGAAGCCTGAAGGGAAGGGCGCAAACGACGCAAAGGCGCGAAGCAGGTCGGCATCTCATCTTGGCTGGGCTCTCCGGGGGAGATTGAGCTCGTTGCCGTCGTGCTCGTAAGGGAAAGAGGAAGAGGCAGATTCAATCGGTCACTAGAGGTATCTGATCCCTCATCTAATTCCGCGTGAAACCAAATAATGGTATAATACATGTATATATGTATGCGTTTTTCAATAATGATTTGATTGATTCGATTAGATTCAAATAATTTAATCAGTACTTAATTTATGGCTATTGACGGAAGCCGCTCTTCGTTAGTGTCTAATAAAGCCGCTCTGAGTCCGACACTTGCCTAAGCCAACTTCTTTCTTCATTCACTTTGATTGTGTTAGGTGCTCGTTCTCTTCCTCACTTTCCTCTTTCTTTTCAAATCCAAATAACTGGTCTAATTTGAATGATTTAGGGATCTTCTCGTTAGGTATTCTCATGTTGTTTACAACATAACATCTTGATATATGTGTAGTTAAGGTCATAGTTTCGATCTTTTGTTCGTAAGGTCAATGCTTTATCCCAGGATTGATGAAACTGTACTTGTTGTGATTGGTAGAACTTGAATATTGTCTGTGCATTGTTTGGTGGAAAGGATTTAGAGTGGAGAATGCATATATGATTATGTTAACTATTGCACTCTAGATGTTTGTTGAAATGCTTGAGGAGGAAAAATAAATAACCACCAAGCTGGTTAGCTATGATCACTTCAAACTTGTTTAGACTCTAGTTTATGAGATATTCAATCCTCATATAAGCAGACAAGTATTATAGATGCGGCACTTACGTTTCATTAGAGTTATTAAGAGCCAAATTACTTTGTTAAATTCAGTTGATGGAATCTGATTGTTATTGAAAATTAAGTTAATCCAACAGCTCCATTGGAGCTACAAGTGGTATCCCTTTCAGTCTCATAGTAGAGAACCCTTTTGCACGTTAACCTGGCTTTTACAGGTTGAGATATTTGGTTTTGTGAAACACAGAAAATATTTTGGTTGAGTGAAACAAAAAGCTCAGCTCAGCTGCTGCAGCATGCTAGATGGTTTCTGTTGAAATCTATGTATGTTGTAAAGTGTTCTATGAGGGTATAGTATGTGTACAAGCAGACATCTTAACAGTTATTCAATGAAAATAACAAAAAACTGGTATAATTCAAAAAGTATTGCGGTCTCAGGACTTGAGTGGCCTGACATGTTACGTTGACGGAGCTATACCAGGATGTATTTTACATTTATATCAATGAGCTGGTGCTATATTTTCCTTGACGTTGTTAGGCTGTTTTATAGATCTTGACTCTGTGGAAAAAGCTCACTGTTGCCTGATTTGAAGCTATCCCTATTGTAACGTTTTTTCTTTTTAAATTATCGATTCAAGTCATGGAGGAGCAATTCATACTTAGAGTTCCACCAGCTGTTGCTGAGCGTATAGAACGTCTTCTCAATGAAAATGCTTCTTCGTCTGATGACAAGTCATTAGATTTGTCATTTCCTGGTGAGCATTTTGTTTTATAATTTATTAATATTAATTTACTTTTGACATCAAAAGGAGGATCTAATGATCCTTACTCTAATTCTACAATTTGATCTTACTGGTAAAGAAGATTTCAATCTAAATAACTTTGCTTCTCTATACCTTTACTTCTATTAGAAATAGAACCTACATGGGGGTTGATGTCCCTCAGTTTGTTGGATTTGATGTTGGCTGAAACACTGGTTCATTGCTTTTCACAAATTCAGGACATGCCAGTGATGCTGATTTGCATTTGAATGAAAATGTGCTGTCAATATGCATTCCTTCATCAAATGAAGTCTATGGGCTTTAATGTTTTAAATTGCATGCAACCAATTGCATGCCAACGTTTGATCAACATTCGTTACGTTTATGCTATATTAATGGGAATTTTGTATGAGTCAATCTGAGAATACTCCTGATTGTAGCACGTGCACTCCTACGATAGAAACACATTTGAAATCAATGGTTGTTTTACTGCTGATGTATCGCTATATTGGATTGGTCTTCCCCGTACAAAGATAAGTAGGAATCTAAATCTTTTTAGAGTTATTGCAGTTTCACACATCGATCTCTATTTTGTTCTTGATATGTCAAATTTTACAGCTTTCTATTTGTAAACATCTGTACATTATAATCTCTTTTCTTATGCTCATGTATCTTCTTTTCCATTCAACAGAGGATGGGAGGAGTGGTACATTTAGCATTGGGGATGATCATTTCCCCGCATCTCTGTTGGACCTTCCTTGTGTGGTGGAATCCTACAAAACATATGACGATAGTTGCTTGATAAAGACTGCTGATATTGGTCAGGTAATTTTCCCCTTGCAATGATCAATCGTCCTTGATTCAACTATTCAAGTGTAATTCTGCTAGATGAATTTCTTGGGTTGAAGCAGATGATTATGGTTAGAGAACCTGATGATGCGGCTCCAGATGTGATTGAGTACAGACACGGTCTCACCCCACCCATGAGAGATGCCCGCAAGCGCAGATTTAGGAGAGAACCGGATCTAAATGTACTAATATTCTCACCTATCTTATCGCTGAAATATACTGACGTAGCATTCATAATTTTGGTGGAGTTCCTTACTAAATTTGCCAGCCACTCGTCTGTATTATTACAGAAGAGGTTGGAAGACAATGCAGCTACTTCTCTTTGTAGAAACAACTATCTGCAAAGCATGTTTGATGGGGAATTTATGTTCGGTTATCTCTATTTTCTGATCTTATGATTCGTCTTTTTACATGTTGCAGCCTGAGCTTGTATCACGAGTTGAGAAAGATCTTCTGAAGATCATGGCTGGAGGAACAGCAGACAATGTTGATATCCTTGTTTTGTGTTAAAGTAAATTGTTTAGCTGAAAAAAGTTTTAGTCCAGTTTTTGATGCAAAATTGCAAATTCACAGTCCTCATTTAGTTTACATTTTGTGTGAAAATGGGAATAGGTTTTAATGCCAGTAGCCATATGGTTTGAAAGAAAGATGGTTTTATAGTTGTTTGCTTTTGGCGTTATCTTTTCTCTTCTTTGCTTTTGAAAAATTGATGGAGTGAACTAGAGTAGCTCTTTGCATCAATGGCGAATGCCAGGGGTTGCGGGTTCAGGTTGTCTATTGATCTACTGGTTCTGTCCCTCTAGATGCTCATGAAGTTGGCCTACTTTTTGTGCATTTGGAGAGGACACGACCAAAAGATCAAGAGAGAAGTTATACTCAGGAGTTGCTTTAATGTTACATGTCCATTTTGGAAAGAGAGTTAGAATTTCATGGTTACGACTTAATTTTTTCCTTCTGTTTTGATTGTTTCCTTTACTGAGATACACATGTGGAAGCAGCTGAGCAAGAGGCAGGGGCTAATAAAAAAGCAGCGGCCGCGCCTGTCACAAAAGATGATGCTCCCCAGACTGTTACAAATGCTGGGGAGGCTGATAGGAGTGACTCTGACGAATCTGATGACTCTGTCTGATTGTAATCAGTTACAAATCTCAAAGGAAGCTTGTGCAGCAGCAATGATGGGAAGCTCACGTTCTGTGGCTTTTTCTGTTTTATTTTAAATCTGTTGTAGATAAGAATATCTCCCATACTATGGCCTACTGTGTGTATTTGCCATCCTGTATTATGTACTTTAACTTCTAATTTGCTGGTTATATTGTTAGACCATCTATAACAGCATCTCAGGTAGATCATGACCAATATACTCCTCCGGTCCTAAATATAAGATCCATTTTGTAGTGTTGCATTACAAAATAGATCTTATATTTAGGATTGGGGGAAAATTGCCATGAGTTAGGGCCCATTTGGTTTAATGACTGACCCTTTGGTGATCTTGTGCAGTATTGATTACTATAGGCTTAGATGGGATGTCATTGGGAATGAGTTAATTTTTATATTCAATTAAGTAGATAAAAAATGAAAAGACCCAATCAACACAGTTGATTTTGGTGTAATGCTCCGTTAGATTGTTTGGGACTCAAAGTCCTAGGAAAGATGCTTGTGCTATGAGGAGTAGCTATGAACCTCAAATTGAATTAGGGAGTGTTTGGATATCCCCAAACCATGGTTTGGAGAATAGCTTCTGAAGAATAGATTCTGGGGAGAATAGATTTTTTGAAGAATAGATTTTGTGAAAAAGTGATTATGAGAAGTAAGAGTGTTTAGATAGTTACCAGAAAGACTTTTTACATATACAAATTACTAAAAAAGGCATAAGTTAATATGATAATTACAGAAAAAATATATTTTATGATATATTTTAATTTGAAGGAATAAAATTGTTAATAATATATTTTTTATTAACATAATTAATAATACATAAGATAATATAATTAATAAATAATTAATATGTATATATTTATAATATATAAGATTAAATATATTTATAAAAAAATTTGTTTATAAAAAAAAACAAGATATATATCTATAGGTTCTCACACTCTTTTTTTTTTTTTCCAAACGCAAAAATTTTTGCTTTTTCCAAAACTATGGTTTTGTAGCTAAAACCATGGTTTTGACTCAAAATCATGGTTTTGGTTTTTTTAAGGGTGTTTGGGTGATTTTTTTCCAAACCATGGTTTGGGTTATCACCCAAACACTCCCTTAGTCGGCTCCTGCTTTTTATTTAAAAATGAGTAGTTTATAAATTAAAAAATTTCTATTTTTAACGCTGCAGTTTTAAGCTTTTAAGTTGTATTTTAATAAGTTAAATTTATTTATTTTCAGATAAAATATTTTAACAATAATTTCTTTAAAATATTAAATCTGATATGTTTATTATTTTGATTGATAGTGGAGATGAAATTCTGAGATTCTGGGAGAAAGGAATTCTCTGTTATTTTCAAAAGATACGCGCGAGAGGGTGTGTGTGTATAACACTGAGCTAGAAATAAAAAATTTTCCCCAACACATCTCCCTTGTCTGGTTGAAACTTTTTCCAACTTCTTTTGGCCAAAATCCAACTCCCTGGTGTTGAGTTTGGCTAGAATCACCTGTTTTTTTTTTCCCCTCCTCATCGCCAGAATCACCTGGTGTTAAATTAGGTTTTTTGAGAGTGATTTTTGATGTTTGAGATAAGGATTTGAGAGATTTTGAACCGTATGTATTATTATAAGATTTGACTTTTTATTTGGAGATATTTATGGATCTTTCTAATAATGACAGTTTTAGAATATTTTATTTTTGAACCGTATTAGGATCGGAAGTATTTATTTAAGTGCTTTTAAGAGGTTCACAACTTCCCGTTAATTTTAAACAAATTGGGCATAGATTAGATTAGAAAATTATCAATATTAAAATATACTATCTATGGTCCTTAATATAAAACTTAACTAATCTGAAGAGATTAAAAAAATTATTACATTACTTAATTATAGCATATGTTACATGATTTCTTTAAAATATTTATGTATTATTAGATAATACTACCTTTGATCTTTAATATAAGAGCTATTTGACTAATTTGGATAAATTAATGAAATTTGTTAAGTTAGTTATTTGTAACAAATATGAATTGAATTTTCTAAAATATTCTTTTAATCAAATCACCTTTGGATGGAAATCTTCATAATATGTGTAATAAATAAAGATACTTGAAAGAATGAATTATAAATTTAGAAGGCAAAGTAGATTGAAATCTTATATTTAGAATTAAATATGATTCCTAATTGGTTTTTATATTAAGGAGCGGAGGATGGTATATTGATTTATAAGTGAGGCAATTTGATTGGAAGAAAAATGATAGATATAAATACTTTAAAATAATTTAATAATATTTTTAATATCTTTAAATTAATTTACTAGTTTTTATAATAAATATTCGACGTATATGCAACAATGTAAAGGTATTATTTTATACATTATTCATTGCAAGCCCAATGAATTGGACTCAGATCAGCGATACTTGAACTTGGAAAATCAACGGGATTATAATCGGCCCATCAGCCTATCTATCAATTTTTTTCCCAAAAAAAAATTGTTATTTTCTCATTTCTTTGCTTTCAGCCGAGAAACGAAGTCATGAACTCATAGATCTGCTCGCGCTTTCTCTCCTCTCCCCCCTTTTGATCCAATTGCATATTGGTAAGCACGAGGCGGATCGTGCTCAAGAAATTTCAAATTCTCATTGCTTCTCCAGCTCTGATTTCAGATCTGACGCAGAGAAGTCTCTGAATTCTCTCAATTTTCAGATCCAAATCTCGTAGACGATGGACAAGTCTTGCACTCTGCTTGTTCACTTCGACAAGGGCACCCCTGCGCTAGCCAACGAGATCAAAGAAGCTCTCGAAGGAAATGATGTACCCGCCAAGGTTGACGCTTTGAAGAAAGCTATCATGCTTTTGCTCAATGGAGAGACTATTCCCCAACTGTTTATCACCATCATCCGCTATGTGCTTCCTTCCGAAGACCACACTGTTCAGAAACTTCTCCTTCTCTATTTGGAGATCATTGAGAAAACTGATTCGAGAGGTAAGGTTCTTCCTGAAATGATTTTAATTTGCCAGAACCTTCGCAATAATCTGCAACATCCGAATGAGTATATTCGTGGGGTCACATTGCGATTCCTTTGTCGATTAAATGAGACCGAGATTATTGAGCCTTTAATTCCTTCGATTCTGACCAATTTGGAGCACCGACATCCTTTTGTTCGAAGAAATGCCGTGCTGGCTGTCATGTCTGTCTACAGACTTCCCCAAGGTGAGCAATTGCTCGATAGTGCTCCGGAAATTATCGAGAAGTTCTTGTCCACGGAGCAGGATCCTTCCAGTAAGCGAAATGCTTTCCTTATGCTCTTTAATTGTGCTCAGGACCGCGCGGTCAGTTACCTTTTTACCCATATTGATAGAATCAACGATTGGGGTGAACAACTTCAGATGGTTGTCTTGGAATTAATTAGGAAGGTCTGTAGGTCAAATAAAGCTGAGAAGGGAAAATATATTAAGATCATTATATCTTTGTTGAATGCTCCATCCACTGCTGTCGTTTATGAATGTGCTAGTACACTCGTTTCACTCTCCTCTGCCCCTACAGCTATTAGAGCTGCAGCTAGTACCTATTGTCAACTTTTGCTTTCTCAGAGTGATAATAATGTGAAACTTATTGTACTTGATAGGCTAAATGAACTTAAGTCTACAAATAGGGACATTATGGTGGAAATGGTTATGGATGTTCTTAGAGCGCTTTCAAGTCCAAATCTTGATATTAAGAGGAAGACAATTGACATTGTTCTGGACTTGATAACTCCTAGGAATGTTGATGAGGTTGTTATGATGCTAAAGAAAGAAGTTGTAAAAACACAGAGTGGAGAGCATGAGAAGAATGGTGAGTATAGGCAGATGCTGGTGCAGGCTATACATTCTTGTGCTATCAAGTTCCCAGAGGTGGCAAGCACTGTTGTGCACCTGTTGATGGATTTCTTGGGTGATAGTAATGTGGCTTCGGCCATGGATGTTGTCGTCTTTGTGCGTGAGATCATTGAAACAAATCCAAAATTACGTATTTCAATAATCACCAGGCTGTTGGATACTTTCTATCAAATTCGTGCTGCAAGGGTGTGTTCATGTGCTCTATGGATAATTGGTGAATACTGCCTCTCCCTTTCAGAAGTTGAAAGTGGAATTGCAACTATTAAGCAGTGTCTTGGGGACCTCCCATTTTATACTCCCTCTGAGGAAGGAGAGGTGCAAGATACATCTAAAAGCACGCAGCCATTGAGCTCAACCACTGTGTCTGTGTCTTCTAGGAGGCCTGCTATTCTTGCTGATGGGACCTATGCGACCCAAAGTGCTGCACTGGAAACTGTTATGTCACCACCTACCCTTGTGCAGGGTTCATTGACTTCAATTGGGAACTTGAGATCACTGATTCTGTCAGGAGATTTCTTTCTCGGGGCAGTTGTTGCTTGTACACTCACGAAACTTGTCTTGAGGTTGGAAGAGGTTCAGACTTCAAAAGTTGAAGTTAACAGAGCAACTTCGCAAGCCTTGTTGATCATGGTTTCAATGCTGCAGCTGGGTCAATCATCAATTCTCCCACATCCAATTGATAATGATTCTCATGACAGGATTGTCCTTTGCATTAGATTGCTTTGCAATACAGGAGATGATGTAAGGAAGATATGGCTGCAATCATGCAGACAAAGCTTTGTTAAAATGCTTGCTGATAAACAGCGTCGTGAAACTGAAGAGAATAAAGCGAAGGCTCAAATAACTAACGCACAGCCTGATGATCTTATTGATTTTTACCATTTGAAGAGTAGGAAGGTGTGTTGGCAGTCATTATCTGCTCTCTTTAAAGTTCCTGTAATTGAATTATTGCCTAGTTACGTGCTTTGACATTTTCATTTCTTATGGTTTCCTCGTAAGCTAATTTTTGAAGTTGGACACATTGATGATGATGTGAATTCCTGGTGTTTTATCCATTTTTGGATGTCATGGATGATAAAATTCTACAACTTATTTTTTCTGTTTATAAATTGTTCTTTTATTTTTGTGCCAATCAAAGGGAACTAGTTTTCTGTTTTCAATCTATGTCTGTACTAAATGTAAATCAGCACTTAGCGTTCAGCACTCTATCTGTGTTTTTCTTGCTCGGAACAGTCAAGTTTTATTAACTAATTTCTTTTTATCTACTTTAGGGCATGAGTCAGCTTGAGTTGGAAGATGAGGTTCAAGATGATCTCAAACGTGCCACTGGAGAGTTCACCAAGGATGGGGATGATGCAAATAAGCTCAACCGCATTCTTCAGCTTACTGGATTTAGTGATCCGGTCTATGCTGAAGCATATGTCACAGTGCACCACTATGACATTGTTCTTGATGTTACTGTCATCAACCGCACCAAGGAGACCCTTCAGAATTTGTGTTTGGAGTTGGCTACCATGGGTGATCTCAAACTTGTTGAGCGCCCACAAAACTATACACTAGCTCCAGAGTCAAGCAAACAGATTAAGGCCAATATCAAGGTGTCTTCTACAGAAACAGGGGTTATATTTGGTAACATAGTCTATGAAACATCTTCAAATGTGCTTGAGAGAACAGTTATAGTGCTCAATGACATACATATTGATATAATGGATTACATATCCCCTGCATCTTGTGCTGATGTGGCATTTAGAACTATGTGGGCTGAGTTTGAATGGGAAAACAAGGTATATCTTCCTCGTATCTCTCATTCTGTGGCAATATAGATCTATAGAACTACTTGTTCATTGCTCACGCCTTCGTTATAGCAAAACCAAAAAGTTCATAGATTATCATTGCAATGACCATGTGCTCATTTAGTAATTCTTTCGTAGTATCTTATTATGTGTTGATGCAGCCCTTATAAGGACACTCGGAGATAATGATTATATATATCTCATTCCAAAATAAAATAAAATATTTTTTTTAGATTATAAATCTTTTAAAATCAAAATATTATTAATTAATAAAGTACAGCATCTGCATGCTTTTGCTCTTGCAGGTATTTTTTTAGTGCATGGATATGATACATGAGACTTGTTTCATAATATGATATCATCCGTGTCATGTGCAATTGATGATGATATCTTTATGGTTGAGATAATGGAATAATGGCATTGAGAGTTTGATAGTTTTGCAGCTTGTGATTTCTGTAGTTATAGTTTTGCCGAATTAACTAATATTTTCTATGCTGGTTTTCTACCCTGATAATACTGATTGGAGATTTGGTAAAAAAAAAAAAAAATTCTCAGTAAATAAATTATTATTTCTTATCAGTGGTTGGTTGTTTTGGGGGGTTTTTTCACAAGTGATATGAATAATCCCCTGAGCATAATGAGATTATCTATTTTCTGTCACAGCTACCCTTTTTTGGTGAATAAGGAAGTCGTTTTTGGTAAAATTTGTTTACTCTATTTGAGTTAGGCACCTCATACTGTATCTTCTGTTTTATTTTTGCATGATATTTGTCTTTATAGACTATAGCGTCTATTTTACAACAGCAGCTTGAATTCACGGAGTTAATAATATATATAATTTGATTTCCATGCTTGAGCAATCAAATATGTTGATATAGGTTCTTACACAGATATCACCCTTCAGGGAACTCGTCTCTACAATATTTGGATATATCTGATTCCACTTGCGTATTAACATCAATTCATGTTTCTAGGTTGCTGTAAATACTGTAATACAAGATGAAAGAGAGTTCCTGAACCACATTATCAAGTCGACAAATATGAAGTGCCTGACTCCACCGTATGTTCCCAAACTTTCTCCTCAAGATTCTGATATTGACTTTGTTATCACTCTATGATCTACTCGTTTCACGAGAACATGCAAGAAACTTCTGATAGCTGTTATATCTGAAATTGACAATTATAGAATTTAGGTTGAAGACTCAATGCATTGTGATTAACTGATACCCATATTCTGTTTCTGTTTTGTCTCGCTGTGTTGAACTTCAGATCGGCATTAGAAGGGGATTGTGGTTTCCTAGCTGCAAACCTTTATGCAAAGAGTGTTTTTGGGGAGGATGCCTTGGTGAATGTGAGTATTGAGAAGCAAGCAGATGGTAAATTGAGTGGATACATCAGAATAAGAAGCAAAACTCAGGGTATTGCCCTCAGTCTTGGGGATAAGATCACTTTGAAACAGAAGGGAGGTGCTTGATTTGTCATCTGAAACTTCTCTCCTCGGTCAGCTTGTAGTTCTATGTCAACTTTGTGTAGTTACTTGTGGCAGCTTAACGTCAAGCCTTGGATTCCTAATTTTAATTCTTGTGGCTTTTGTTGGCAGATGAACATTAATTCCAATTTTGTCTGTATTCTTTGATGGCACTGCAGAAAAGTCTCTTTCTATCCATCTTCCTTTACTACACATAGGGTGGACACCCTATATTAATATTAATCTATCGAATTACCGTCTATTCTGGCCTTAGATAATTCGCTTGTGTTTCCGGATATTCCAACAGAGATTTGTGCCAACTGGGTGTTCAATAATATTTAGTTATTTTTTACCTGTTGGTTTCCTTTTATTCTCTCTATTATCACTCCAGAAACCTGCAAAAATTAGCAGGATTATTGGGTTGGAACCAGGATGATCAGTGAGTTGATTAATTCCAAAACCAATATATTAAAGGTCATTATGTCGCCAAATTGACAATGTTTTCATCCACACTTTCTCATGCGATTTTCTTGCGTTCATTATTCTATGATTCTCTTTCCTGGGTTTTACTTTACATCGCCGAAAAACAATTATAATCATGACAATCGGAGAAAGAGAACAGAATTGCAGTCACTTTCTCAATAAAACAAAGTGACACCCCATGATGATATTACCATAAAGCAATGACTTGATCCAAATGAACAAGACTTTCATATATTATGCTGATTGAGCTCAAATCCACAGTAGGTAATTATTAGTCCTTGAGCGTGAAATCCTAAAGATATGTTCACCTTAATTAATACATTAGTACGTACTTTTATTTAACTTGAAAGCGAGAACTTCAATGCTTCTAGGTGGGGGGATTGTTTCAGACAGTTACGCACGCCTCACTACGTCTTGATCTTCCAAGCACACAAGCAAGAGGCTGCATAAATTAATGGCCGGAGAAATTAGTTGTGTAAACGCTTCACCAATTCAAGGAAGACGTACCTCCTGGTTGTTGAAGGCTCTCTGAGATGTTTGTTTTGCAAGTGAAGTTTGGTTTGAAGATATGTTTCTCTTCCTTTCACTTTGTTGGTTGAGTTTGGTGAAAGGAAAGTAAATGGACATAGCAGAAGAAACCAACAAAGATTATCTTTTTTTTAACTTTGACCCAGCTTTTGTGTCCCAATATGATTGCAATTAAAATCCCAACTAGCAATAATTGCCAGTTGTGGCAAACATTTTGAGATTGCCATCTTGTTTCTGTCTCTGGTTGATATACAAAGCATGGACAATATTGAAGCGACCAGACAGTACTTGAAATCTAGCTTAGAAATATCAGGCGCCATTGCTTCTGCATTAGATGATTCTGGTTCAAGACTGGAGATACTTAGCCGAAAATGCCAGTCCTTGGAAGCTTCACTCAGGCCTATCTGTACGCAAGACTTCTCATTTCTTGATATGGGAGACCGAATCGACGGTGTTTTATGTTCTGCTGCTGCAGTCCTCAAGGTGTTTGATGCAATTCATCCCCTGGAAAATTCTCTCCTGGCTGACCCCAGTTCTGATCTTTGCACTTACGTCTCAGACACAAAGAAGTTTGAAGAAGCCCTCAAGCTTCTCACTGATAATTGCACATTAGCACTAGGGTGGTTGCAGGAAATTTTGGAGTTGTTGCAAGACAAAGCTGTCGTCTCTAATGAGTTTTCCTTATTGAATGTGAAGAAATCTCTGAGAATATTACAAGAATTGCAGGCTATGGAGGAAGATGCTCACCTTGATGGAGGCCTTCTTAGTGCTGCTTTTGACAAACTAGAGGTTGAGTTCAAGCGGCTTCTGAAAGCTAACTCGCTGCCTCTCCCTTTGTCTCCATTAACATCATCCATTAACCAGCAAACCACCATACCAGCTTTACCAGCTTCTCTCACGGGGAAATTACAGGCCATTATTGAGAGACTACATGCTAATGGCAGACTAGACCGGATTAAATCCATATATGTTGAAGTTCGAGGAATGAACGCTCGAAGGAGCTTGCAGGCTCTAGATTTGAGCTATCTGGAGATTCCAACTGCAAAATTTGAGGATATACATAGCATAGAGAGTCACATAGAACAATGGGGTAAGCATCTGAAGTTGGTTGCAAATCACCTGCTTGAGATGGAGTACAGGTTCTCCGGCAAAATCTTTGAGAAAATAGGTGCAGATGCATGGAAGGGTTGTTTTGCCAAGGTTGCCATTGATTCAAAAATCCTCTCTTTCCTTCAATTTGGAATAAATGTTGCCAGGAGCAAAACTGACCCCATCAAGTTGTTGAAGCTGCTGGACATTTTCAGTATCTTGAATGATCTGAGACTAAAGTTCAACCAGCTTTTCAGTGGGGAAGCTTGTGAAGAAATCAGAACTGTGACAAAGGATCTTATCAGCAGAGTCATTAACGGTGCTTGTGAGATATTCTGGCAGCTTCCTGCACAAGTAAAATTGCAGAGGCCAAGTTCTCCTCCCTCAGATGGCAGTGTTCCTAGGCTCGTAAGCTTTGTCACCGACTACTGCAATGAGCTACTCGGAGATACTTACAAGCCACTTCTGACACAGGCTCTGGAAATTCATCTAAGTTGGAGAAATGAAGCATATGAAGAAAGCATCATTTTCGCCCAAGTTTTTAGCATAGTGAAGGAAATTGCAGTTAATTTAGATGCATGGTCAAAAGCCTATGAAGATATCACTTTGTCTTATGTCTTCATGATGAATAATCATTGTCATTTCCACAACTTGAGGGACACTATGCTTGGGAACATGATGGGAGATTCATGGTTAAAAGCACATGAACAATATGAAGACTATTATGCTGCTCTTTATCTGAAACATACATGGGGAAAGCTCTTGCCTATTCTGAACAAAAAGGATATACTTTCAGTTGCAGTTGCAGTTTCATCTTCTGATATGGCTAAGAGACTGAACACTTTCAATGTGGCATTTGATGAAATGTACAAGAGGCAATCAAATTGGGTAATATCTGATGAAACCTTGAGGGAGAAAGTGAGGAAGCATATAGTTGAAGGGATGGTGCCAAGTTATAGAAGCTTCATGAAGAACTACAGTTTAACAATGGAGAACGATGAGAAGGCTGTGAAGTGCACAAAATACACAGAGCAGAATTTGGAGAAGATGCTTTGGTCCTTATTTGAGATGAAGATAACCAAGTATGGGAGCATGAAGCAAGTACACTTTATAAGTAAAATAAAACAAATGAGTGCTCAATTGTTCACCTTAGCTACTACTGTGTAATTGTAACATTATAACTGGGTATGCCAATTTCAATTTGCTTAGGAATATGAACGAATGTAGTAATTAGAATATCTAGAAAATGGGAAAACTTCCGAAGGAAGCTCTCAGAATGGACTCAGATTACATGGTTCTTAGGAAGCTCCTGTTGATTATATACTTTCTGTAATTGATAGTTAGTTCTTGCTTCTATTTTGTAGTTGTATGGCATTGTCATATAGCCTTTAATTCGAGACAAGAAAAGTGAGAAAAAGTTTTCAGAAAAAGAAAGAAAGAAAGTAGGGAAAAGTTTGAAAAGATTAGGAAGGAGAGCATATCTTTGAAGGGAAGTTTAAATGCAGCGGGCTCCTCTGATGTGTAAAAGATGCAAAAACAGTTACGTCTTGACAATGAAGTCTTACCTCATAAACAGTTACGTTCCGCTAAGCTAACCTTGGCTTCCATGCCCACCCTTCAAAGTTCAAAATACAACGCCTTTGGTTTCTTCCCCCCTTTTTTTTTTTTTTTCGCCCCCCCTCCAAATAAGTAAATAACGTGTGCGTATATTGGTGACAAATTTTTCCGTATGTCAGAACCTGATGCAAGCTGCCAACATGAGTTGATCTAGTAGTAAAGAGTCAGCTCAAAAGATCGTAAATTCGAATCCTGCTACCAATATGAAAACCTTAGTGGTAGACGATGTATAAGTACCTTTGCAAGCATTCTCTAAGTCTAGAGATATACATTGGCCTTGGTGAACTCCAGAAACCCATCTCATTGGAACTTTTTTTTTTTTTTACCAAAAAACCCCATACAAGTTAAATCCAATTGAGGAATATCTCTTAACATAATTTTTTTTTTAAATTTACAAGGCTTAAATATGTTTTTTTGGGTAATTGCGAAGATAAATATTTCTCTAAAAAATTGCATATTTCAGCTATTTGTATGTGTGGATCTTATTTCTTTTATATTTTAAACAATAAATGAAAGGAGAGGGAACAAATTTTGGACACTTGATTGTATGTCTAAAATTTAACAAAATAAATAGTCTCTCTCTGTATATATTTCCAGATAAATAAAATCGTGTTATCTTTTAATTTTCTCCAAAAATGTTTTTATACAATCTCCTGTATTCAGGTGGGGGGGGTTGAAAAAAAAAAAAAGGTGGGGGGGGGGGGGCTCTGCTTTCATGATGGCCCTTCTTTTCTTGGGGTTGAGTCCCTTCCCAGTCCAATTTCCGTTTTGGTTAGTTCAACAGTTTTTTTTCCCGTGTTTGACATAGAAACAATGTTTGGCTCAAGTTGGTCACTCCCGCATGCTAAAGGGACAAAAGGATATGCCCAAAGCTGACAAAACAATTTGTAGACCCCAACCAAAAAATTAACAAGGAAAAAAGTTACATTTTAAGCGGTCATAATAATTTGTTTTAATTTAATTTTTTATGAAACTATTTTTTGAATCAAACACATCCTCTCATATACGTATATGCATATGTATACATACGTACATTCAAACACATATATACATATATATATATTTCTTTAAAAATAAAATCATTATCATCAGTGGTCCCTCACAAAATAGACATTCTTTTGATAGAATCACATTATGAATACTAATTTTATTTGTGAAGAAACAAACTGAGAAATATCTTTGAGTGATTAACTTGAGACGCAGTTACTTTTACCTAGGACCTAATCTAGAAACATATTACTTGAAAGGGTTGCAAACTGAGATTTTACTCAACAACAAAAATTAAGGATACAAGAATCAAAAGTTCAAATGTAGTTCAAGAAAAGAAAAGAAACGATTAGACAAGAGTTGGAACTCGAAAGTGAATGGCATTTCTCCATTCATACAGTACATATCCGTTTCTTCAATTTTCTTCTGAATCTACTCCGAAAAAGGAAGTCCACTCCACAAGAAGGATGTATGTGAGTACAAGACAATCACCAAAAGAAAAATACAAGCGCCAACTAGATTGGGTTTAGCAGCCAGTCCATAATAATCTGAGCATCAAAAGCCTTGAATGAATCATTACACAATAAACACGTAAACTGTCTTGGTAGATTACAATTTTAATAAGTGGGGGGTATTTGATAAAGGATTTAAGAATGGGTAATCAAAATCAACTAAAATGAAGAATCAGGACTTTATTTGCTTCAAACGTTTAACCTTCTCAAAATCTGGAGCATGGAAGTTTTTTTCCACCTCCCATGCCATTTGTGACATACAATTGAATGTTGACTTGGCACCTTTTTCATCGATGACTTCTCTGGGAAAAGGAATGCGCACCTCGAACATGCCTTTCTCAGGGGAGCTGAGACGCATGTCAAAGCCCAGGCGGTCAACCCATATCATCTTTGCCTCGGAGACCTTGTGAGGCAAACATGAAAAGACAATATAGTTAGTTTGGTGAGCACCAATCATCTTCTAAATCATGAAAGTGACCTCGATTTCCCATGCATACTCTCCTCAAGACTCCAGCAGACCATTTGGTATGCAAATTGAAATGAAATGAAGAAAAAAATAAAATAGAAAAAGTAATTTTGTAGACGGGGAAAAAAAAAAACTTTTTGTTCTACTGAATAGAAAAGGCAATATACAATGGGGGTTGCTATCGATGTATACTCAACTATACTGTATGATGTAAAACTTAAATAAAGTCACATCATTCATAAGGATTCTGTACAATGCATAGGAATCAAATAATACTGACAAATATAAATATTGTATATGTCATTTTTTATGCAATGAAAAAATGATCCATTTTCTAGCAAATTAATCAAACGGACTGCAAAGGTCATTCTATGCAGAACTTTCTAAAAACAAATCCCAAACATAGGTGTGCCATTAAAGTCAATTTGCATACCAAAACTTAAATAAGCTGTTTCTGTGGGAGGTAAAGAATGTCAATAAACAGAGTTTAGATCAGTGATATAGGAGCAATTGCTAAACTTGGGATAACGTAAATTTCAATATGCAAGTAACCACACAAAAGATTTAGAGCTAACCTGAAAATCCAAATCAACATATACATTGCAAAAGCGAGTAATATCTTCCATGTTGTTTGTGTTAACTTCATCCACCAACTTCTCTGCACAATCTCGAAGAGGATCAGGTTGCGCGTTTTTATAATCTGAGGATCTCACCCATTCGCCATCCTGGAAAAACATAATCATAAGATTTGGTGTTAGACAAGAAGCTAACTCTCAATATTAATGAAAATTACAGCAACAAAAAGTAGCATACTTGAATCTAAGAAAACAACCATTTTCAAAACGAGTAAATATAAAAACTGTCACACCTCCTTGAAATCTTCCATCTGCAGGACCTTCTCTACAGCAACAATGTAAACCAAATCTTTGTTGACTTCTTCACCAAACCTCCTTTTCCATAACGAAATAAGACGCTGCATAATGGCAATTAACGTAAAAAAACGTTATGACTAGAGGATCAAATAAACCAAAATTGAACACTAGCGGGTTGTTCCTGTAACCAAACAGTGCCAAAGAAAACAGCATTGCAGTATGTTATTAACAAACAAGCTAGAGTGATACACAACATATGGTCAAGTTTAGCAAATTAGTTCAGCTGCTGAGTCTGAGACACAAAACATCTTACTTAGAGCTAGACTAAGCTACTGACACCGAATTATAGAAATCAAAACAAAAATTAATGAGTACAGACAACACGAACAAAACTACTAATATCAATATGTATCTTTCAAGTTAACAGATGCCGAATCCATTTGAAATATAAGTTTCTCATACGATGGAAATTACCTTCATCAGGACTCTATCCTCTGGCTTGTTAACGGTCCCTTGTAGGGTACACTGGGGAGTCCGTAATCCAGACTGCGTTAACTGATCAACGGAACAAGAAATTCGTCACAATGCAATTCATAAAAACTATCTTGACATACACACACACACGCGAGAGAGAGAGAGATAGAGAGAGAGAGAGGAACGCACCTGAACATGAAGGCTCACCCTCGGGTCAAAAGAGAAGTGCTTATTGATAGCGTTCAAGGACAATACAGGAGTCCCTTCCGGGTCAACTGCGAATCGCACGCCGATACCTAGGGGCCAACCCTCTTGACTCAATGTAGAAAGAGTGCCTGCAGTGGCCAACTCCATTATAGTCCTTGAAACTTCAGCAGGAAACGGCTTATGACTCCTCAATTCCAACTGGGATGGCTCTGATAAAGTCGAAAGCGAGCATTTCAAACTCTTAAATGAAGAATTCCGCAACCAAACCCGTTTTGGAGAACAGAATGCACCAATCTGGGTTTCTTTTAAGGGTTTTGAGGAAGTGACCGAAGGCGCAAAATGAGTCGCAAGAAATTGCGTCTGAAGCAGCATTTGCGGAAAACTGAAATCTCTTTCACAAAAAAAAAAAAAAATTGATTTATCAGTATGAATTCGAGAAACGATTGGATAATTGGAGAAAATCTGCGAGTAACAGTTTAGTATAGCTTTTCAATGAGCTGATGACTAGAGAGAAGAACAACGAAAAAGATGACAATGACGAAACGAGACGATAAGCAAAAATTGGACAAACGGCAAAGAGGTTGGAACAGTTAGTTGGAAGAAACGACGCTATTTTAGGTGTCGTTTTGATGGGTTAAACGACATCGACATGCGTACAAAATACAATTCCAAATAGCTCCCGCTTCCGTTCTCATCGTCGCCGTTGGAAATGGAGGTGGCGACGGCAACAAGCTGCTGCTTCCGGCACCTTCCGACGTCTCCTTCCAACCTCTTATCCTTTTCCCGCCATATTAGTTTCCGGCATGTATGGTTTGGGCAATCCAGAGGTGAGAACAAATACGCAACGTAATTTGTTGGAGTTGTCGAAAAGTGAGTTGGACAAAAATTCAACCTTTTTGTTTTGTAGGCGTAACACTGTACAGAAATGGACTTCCACTACGGTCTACTTGCGGTGTAACTCTTGCTCTCTCTAGAAGTAACGAAGAGTATGTGTCGGCTTGGGATGATAAGCCCTTCGAAATTCTTCCAAGTGGTAGGAAGGCTTACTTGGATGAGCAGGATGTGGTGTCGTTTCTTGATTCCCCCAAGGAGTTGATTCCTTTGGACCCAGATTCTTACAATCCTGCTGCGTATCTTTGGTCAGTTTGCTTTAGTTTTTCATTGGTTGGTCATCTGTTCCCCTTGACATGAGAGGAGATGGTTTATGTTTAAAGAATCATTTTTGGTTTTGGGTTTTCGTTTGCGTATGACAAATTTTCCTCTTAATTGTTAATGACATTATCTCTTGCTTCGCTTCTCTAAATACAGAAGCTTGACTGAACTAAGCCATGAGAGTTATCTGAGCCTTTCTTCATTTACAATATAGCATAGTTTATGTTACCCTTCTATGGATGCGCAGGTGACTGACTTTCGTACTATTAGATGAACATGGTTCACTTGTGGACATTTACACAAAATATAAATAGAGATCACAAGATTTGTGATTTTTCATTCAGTTTCATCAATGAGTTAAGTATGTAGGTATCACTTCAAAAGAGATCATTTTAATGCCGGTTCGCTAAACTGAAATAAACATTTATTTGCTTAGCTTGATTCATCTACTCCTGGTAAGTCACAGGAGTTTTGTGTAACTATCTTACTGGTTCAGTAATATGGTGTCTTTAGCGGTCTTAAAATCTGGAGAAACTGTTCTCCGTCACATATTCTCTTACCTCCAGCATTGCATGTTCAGGAAAAAAATTGAAGATGTTCCTGAGGAAAGGCGTCATCGACTGCTGCTTTTGTTAGAACCTAGGTCTCTCTATGACTTCTATGAAATTTCTATTTTTGTAGTATAAGTGAGAGTGGAATATATACTTTGTATTGGTCTTTTACATGTTAAATTGATATCCTTGGTAGATTTATGCAGACTCATATCAAGGGCTTGGCAAATAGCTGGCACTCGATATGCGGATCCCAAGTTAGCAAAGAAAAGTGCGTCAACATTATTATCTGACGGAAATGGTGTGATGCTTGAATATTTCAACTGCCGTACAAGTGGAGGTTGGTCAAAATTCATACACTGATGTTGGTATTTAGTCATAATGCAGTTTAATAGATTGCATTCTGTTGGTTCATACATTATTGATTTCAGAGGGAGCATTCTAAAGTGCACATGAAGCAAGTTTCTAAGAAAGGTCTTGTAATCTTGTTCGCTAATACTAATTTATTTTACAATTAAACCAGGATCCAAGTGTCTTTGCCTTGATCAAAACACAAGCAGTGTCTTCTGACTGGAGCAAAGTTTTTTCCAATTTGATATGACTGGCATCATAAATTCTTTTGCAGTCATAGGTTCAATTTTTCAATCTACTTTTATATCTGCGTTCTTTTGGCATCTTCCTCTTCTATCAAATAAGCTGCCATTGTACTCCAATGGGTCTCTCTTCATATGAATATATTCGTCAGCTTCATGAGTATTCTCTTTTTGCTTGCATGCATTAAACTTGAAAATCTAAGGCCATCAATTTTGTAATTCTTTTTAATCTCAATATTAAACGTTCTTGAATAGGGCCAATGCTAATTTCCTGGATTAAATTCTTCAAAAAGGTAATTTCACTGTTCCCTTCATGCTATACACTCTTCTAAATATATTTGAAGAGTTTGGTTTATTCTTTGCTCCTGTTTTAGGTTATATTTTCATGGAAGGATGGGAAGGCCTATGGACGGCTCATTGGTATAATTCTTTCCATGCTTGTGCACAAGTACTATTTTTGGTGAAGATATATGTCTCTGTTAAAATATACATTGCTTTTTTACTTGTTTCTGCTCCTGAATTACACTTCCATGTCTCATTTAATGCAATCACTTGCAGACCAAAAAAATTACGGTAAAGTGATTGGAATGTCATATTGTCCTCAACTCCCTCGAGTGTTAAAGCTAATTCATGTGGTTACTGTAATTCTCATCAGAAACATTAAAAATAAAGACCAGTGATCATAACTTTAAATAAATAGTCAGTAATCATCTTATGCTTCTGGGAACATTATATTTACATCTACATGGTGCCTGACTTGTTTATAATGATTCAAGAATGTGGCAGAACTGTTATTTATAAATATACAAGCACAAAAGGTAAGATGTGAAGAAACTTCTCAATCTTTGTATGGAAGATTGAATCTGTCCAGGAAGTAGAACTTGCACTTCCTTTTTGCATAAAGATTTAATGGATTGATATATGGTAACTTGATCATCTGAAGGAGGAAAAGTCAAACCATATTTATTGTTTTTGCTATCTTCAATTAAAAATTGCATGCTTTTCTATGTTATAATGTTGTTTTTTAGGAAGTTTAGATGAAGAGATTTGAATAGTTATGCTGATCTTCCTGGCATATTCCAAAGTACTTGTGGTTTAAGAATCTTTGAAATTCATTTATCTGGATTAGCTTGTTTTCTACTCCTTAGGTTGCATTCAAGTTTCAAGCCTAAGTTTTGTTGTCCTTTGTGGAATATTTGAGAGAACGTGTTTGTCTTCTTGATTTGAATAGCATGGTACATTCAAATATATACACAGAGGGAAAACAAGAGAATAAATGCCAACAGAGGCTAATAAAGGCCATACAATCACCTCCTACTCACTTACCTTATCTTTGAAAATATTTCCAATAAATGCAAAGATATTCCACATCCTTGTTAGTGACATTTTTTATGGATATTGGAACAATCCAGGTGGACCAGCTTTGGCCACATTTGCTAATTCTTTGGCTCCTTTGTATTTCACGGTGAGGCAACTCAAGGAAGTGATGTCAACTGAGCAGCCCTGTGATCAAGCATATGAATTTGGAGATGGACTACATGACATCAAAGAACTCCCACAAGGCTTTCCAAGACCAGGTGAGGGTACATTTTATTTGTCCATACATGTATTGTTAATCATAATATTTATGCAAACAATTTCATATCTGATATTCAAAGTATTCATTATCTATTAATCCTCATAGACGTGTAGTCCTATCATTGTATTATGACCATCCTGATTACACATTAATGTACATGGAGCCATCAAGTTGTAGAGTTTCATGCATGATATTGGTGTGTCGATTTGCCCCTTATTTTGGCCAAGAATGTGTAGATGTTGAAAAACCCACTTCGTTGAAGAAAATTTCTTGGTAATAGATCCAAGTCTCATATCTGGATAGTTGGCATTATTTTCTTCTAGGCTCTTCTCTAATTTTATTGTGCTTCTTCAGGGTTCTTTTTCGTACAATATAGCAGATAAGTGAGTATTCACGTCATTGAATTTGTATTTGCAGTTAAACATCCTTACCCTTTCAATGATCAAGTTGTGATATATGTCCGACATCTAGGACCAGGGGTTTCAGTCGGGCAAGCATGGCAAGAGGGGAACAAATTGGAGCAAATACCGCAAAAATTATGTGGTGAGATTTTAATGGTGAAGAATTATGCTTCCTGATGACAGGATCACTACAAAAAATCACTGAGCTTCCCCTAGAGAAGACTGAAATATTAATCTGTAAACATGCATAAATGATTTTAAATCCTGAAGTCACTAGACAGTGGCATGTCTGATGCATTATTATGTAAGGATAAATTTAACGAGAAAATATGACTCCAAGTGAGTTGTATATATGTAGTTGAAGCTAGAGTGCTGCAGGAGCAATATTATGTTGAATTTTCTGTACTATTGTCTTTTCTACAAAATCATAGTTCCAAATTGCGTGTCATTTTTCATCCTTGGTAAATTGCATTTTCTTGTGTGTATTCTGATCTAAGCCTGTGTACTATTTTTACATGGTAGGTAGAGGCGTAAGTAGGTGGAAGTATTCCTAACCTAGTTTATTCAATAAATTGGTCAGGCTTAGGCTCAGGCAAGGCTCAGGCCTATTTCCACAAAGTTTAGCTTACAGGTTTACAGGCTTGGCTTATCCCCCCCCCCCAAAAAAATTGCGCTTTTATATGCCATTATATATAATATAATTTAAGTTAATTTAACAAATTATTTATACAATTAGTTACTTGACCTTAATCCTAAGTTTCATATCTCATTATTCGCTCATGAGCTCAACCCTAGTTATTCACTTTTATCTCTCTTCTCTTCAATCGCTCACAATGACAACCTTAGCTCATTCCCTCTCTCCTTGATTTGCGTTGTTTGCCTTATTTTAGTGATGTCCAAATATGGAATAGTATAATCACAATAGGAATAGTTTGTCCCAATTTATGTGGGAAAAGCAAAAGAGGTAAAATTTAGTTTGGCATGCCACTTGTTGTGATCGGTTATTAATCTTAGAAAATGTATCTCTTAATCAATAGATGATTGATTTTTCTTATTCTTACTTAAACAATTGTTGTTGTCATGCATTTTATTCCCTTGTTTACTAATATTGTAGATGAGAATGAATCTCCAACTTTTAAGACATAACATAGGCAATAGGGTTGAAGGGTTATATATAAATTTGGAAAGATAGGCTTTTAAGTTTATTTGAAGGCCTACATTTGAAGTAGGCTTTAGAAAGGCTTCAAATCTTGTTAGGCCTTTTAAAGG